CAGCTCAATGTCCTACAGATGTTGTGGAAAAGGGAAGAATGTCATGTGTTCCCTATGAACAAGCTATAAGCAGCCTCATGTATTTAATCGTGTGCACCAGGCCTGATATTGCTCTAGCAATGAGGAAGGTGAACAGGTACATGTCGAATCCAGGAAAAGTTCACTGGGAAGCAGTGAAATGGATTCTAAGATATTTGAAGAATACCATGGATTATGGCTTATTGTTTGATGGCTTATTAGACAATGCTAAGTCCTTGTTTGGCTACGTTGATGCTGACTACGGACAAGATTTAGACAAGAGAAGATCTACAACTGGATATGTGTTTACACTTGGCGGCGGAAGCATTAGTTGGAGAAGTGTGTAGCTCAGTCAACAACAGAAGCTGAGTACATGGCAGCAGCAGAAGCGGCAAAGGAAGCTATTTGGTTGGATAAGCTTACCATGAAGATGGGATTAACACAAGGAGTGGTTAATCTTCATTGTGATAGCCAGAGTGCTTTACATTTGGCTGCGAACCAAGTCATGGATAGCAGAGTAAAGCACATCAACATCCGATATCACTTTATTAGACAAGCAGTGTCTGATAAAACAATTGAGCTAGTCAAGATTGATGGTAAATTCAATCCAGCTGATGCGTTGACCAAAGTTATTCCTTTGAAGAGTTTCAGACGACACTGTGCTACTATGCAAGTTGTGCATAGGGAGCACAAGAGATATGGTTGTTAGTTACCTTTGTATATTGTTATTCTATATTCTTATGGCTACGGCTTAGTTTTAGTTAACTCTAGTTTAAAGAGGGACCTTGTGATAAGTTTCCGTCTAGAACTTCCCGCGGAGTAATAATATAGGTTAGAGAGGTGACTATAATTTCTTAACATGAGTTAAGGTGAGATTGTTGAGTTACCTCTGTATATTATTACTTTATCTTGGTATGAGAGTAATAATATAGGTTAGAGAGATGATTGAGATTCCTTGACATGAGTTAAGGTGAGATTGTGAAGTTATCTCTGTATATTATTACTCTATCTTGGTATGAGAGTAATAATATAGGTTAAAGAGTTGACTAAAATTCCTTGACATGAGTTAAGGTGAGATTGTTGAGATTACTTCTGTATATTGTTACTCTATCTTGGTATGAGAGTAATAATATAGGTTAGAAAGGTGACTAAAATTCCTTGACATGAGTTAAGATGAGATTGTTGAGATTACTTCTGTATATTGTTACTCTATACTCTTATGACTACGGCTTAGTTTTAGTTAACTCTTGTTTAAAGAGGTACCTTGTGATAGGTTTCAGTCTAAAACTTTTCGCCGAGTAATAATATAGGTTAGACAGGTTACTAAGACTCTTTAACGCGAGTTAAGGGGGAGATTGTTGAGGTTAACTCTGGTTAAGGAGTTAATCTCAGTTAAAAGTTAACTGAGGTTAGTTAACCGCACATGTAGCTATTTATAGCTTAGAGTGATTGACTATCTTGGGTATATATACACTGAGAGTGATACGAGGACCTCACTTGAAGCAGTAAACTTTCTCGAGCGTATTCCTTTGTGGACATAGCCTCTGAGGGTGAACCACGTTATACTTGTGTCTCTGTGTTCATTATGTTGTTGGTTTGCTAGTCTGAGAGATTTAGAATAACATGCTTTGCTAGTTGAAAGTTACATGAAAACAATTTATGTGCTTGTTAGATAAATATTAAGTTTATAAGTTGACTAGATACATCAATAATCCTTATGCTTGCCACCATAAGTGAGATACGCCATCTCATCAATCTATTAATAATGGTATGTATAGTGGGATGAGATATTTTCTCATTTCTGTATTTGGTGTAAAAATTGATTTAAGGTTGAAAAATACCAATCTAAATTCATTTCAATGTTTATGTTTCATTTTTGAGTGATATTCTCTATTTTTATCTAGTGTTACAACACCAAAGCAAAAATGTAAACAAATAGAGTAATAAAGATAAAATACATCACGAAAGTAGAGCATCACGAGATATAATCTATTGCATAGAACTCTGGTGCACTTGATTGTTAGAGAGTAATAAGAAGTTAGCTCATAAATTACAGTCTCAATTTAACTTTTTGAAAACCATTGACATATGCACTTGGCATAAATGGGAATGCTCCATATAGCTTAGAAATGGGGAGAACATAGATTAACTTCCAGAAACTAATTCTCATGAGAATATTGCTTAGTGCAGCAACTCCTATCGGGCGATGGAATTTTAAGTGAAAAATTGGTGCTCACCGGCACCATCATTGAAAGAGAAGTTCCTCATCATCAAAGGTTCAGCGGTTACTTTGATGTCATTAGGTGAAATAATTCTTTCAATTTTTGGGTCGTTTTCCGGCGAAGTAACTTGTGAGTGGCTTGTTATAGTTTAGGAACTGAACCATACTCATGTAATTGACAGATAATATATGCTTCATGAGTCGACAAGTTAGCTCGCCTCACATGAAGAGCACTCGCAAGATGTGATGTCCATGCTGGAGTATCTCCAGATGCGGTCTCGGAATAGACATGGTCTAATCCTAGCCTTTGCGACTGATCACAAACCGCAAATAAATGGAAGAAAGTTCGAAGATACCGCACGCATTAGTGCTTATTCTGGACAAGAATCTGCGCCTTCAGATCTGCGTCAAAACGTACTTGTGTTTTCCCGCATGTACATGCTCCTCGTGCTCTGGCGGATACGTGAAGAACGAATGCACTGTAATATTATATTGGCTGAACTAGGAAGACACAGAATCCTCCATCTGCTGCACATTTCCACTAAACTTTCAAAAGATGCTCAACACAGATCTTCAAAGCTATTTTTGTGAGCGCAACGGACCGAAGAGCGTTTGTTACCTTGGAAAACCTACAAATCCGAGTCGGTCACCAGACTGACACTGGACGTGACGGAGGTCGTTTTAAGCAGGCCTATGGGCCATTCAATTAAAACCTTTCAGGCGCCCTTTTACTGAAATGAGGCTCTGCCTGTACCTTTTTCCCGATCGAACGTCAGTCAGCATGCCCGGAACCAAAATCATGTCCTGAATAGATTAGTAAGATGAGAAGATAATTTCGAGTGAAGTAATTTTGTGCAAAAGCTTCTCGGAGACCCACACTTGTGCTGAATGGCCTCACCAACTCCCAAGAGCCACCACATACTGATTACTTCTTACGCATAGCTGCGGCTGCTTCTGGTTGAATTTGTGACGAATTTATGGGAGAATTTAGAGGATGTATGACAAGATACTCGATGAGAGAATCGCTCGACAATTGTAGATACTACGGACCTCTGATCGCAAAGAAACAAAACCTTAGCAACGATGGCCGGAATCACTGCTGAACAGAGGCAGAGCGATGGCAGTTTCTTGGTTGGGTGAGCTGTCAGAGGAGCAAATTGCCGTTTTCTGGAATCTGGAACTTGGAGGAGACGCGACGGCGAGAGCAGGACTCCTGCAGGACAGAGAGAGATGCATTGCGTGATGAACACAGTCTATGATTTACATAGGAGCTATGGCGAGAGTTCTTGTGGTTCCAGTTAGAGCGAGCCCCAGATAGCAAAGCCGAAAGGGAGATTGCTGCTTCGTATGGTCCTGGAGGTCGGTCGGTTCTTCGTATTACAGCGCGACCGGACGGACGCGTGCGGGTGCAGCAATGCCCTTGACGTTGGCGCCTTTCTCAGTTCAACTCGCCATATTCACCTTGTGACCTTAAGAGAAGGTACGACATTTTTCCTGGTTACTTAGATTTTTGGTGAAGGCCCACGGTTGTTATGACGCTCACTTGCTAAAGTAGTATCAGCAAAGAAAGGTTTTACGGTCCCCACCCCGATCACCGAACAACATTACCAATTACTGGAAACTATGACGTTCTTGAGGTGATCCTATGAGAAATCAGGGCAATGAGATAAGCCCGGCTTTCTGGACGCTGTTGGCTCCTTGCGTTGCGCGAATTGACCTTTAAGTTGTTGATATTGTTGCGGCTGCTTGGATTCCAGAGAGAAACAACCCGGGGTTCTCGTAGGGCGTAAAACAGTTCGTTGAGAACTGCGTGCTGTTCTCATGATCGGAATCTGTAAAACGTAGGACATTAAAAGTTCCATTTAATGAATTTGAGTTGATATACAGAGTTTCTAACCATGCTCGAAACTTCTTCGAAGCACAATGCTTTCTCACAAATCTTTAAGATCTCTTGCACTAAGTTGAGCATTGCGATGTTGGACATGAGCACGTTTTAAGTTTGCGGGTATCTGTCATTGACATTTGGGCTCAGTAGGAAAGAATTGAGGCGACGAGAAGAACGCAACTATAAGAGCCACCCATCCGAATGCTTGCTTTCTCTGTAGCACTGGGAAACTCAGAACCGGGCTGTTGCTGCAGTAGGGCCACAATGCCAGCAGCTATCCTGGAAAGTCGACCCTAGAATGCTCAGTTGTTAGCGCTGCTTTCCGAAAGGTTGGGAAGGATCCAAGATTTGCTGCTCAGAATGTCTCAGAAGTAGGCATATGTCCAAGCTGTAGCGTCTTCCAAGTGTCAAGTCGAGAACGACCGCCCGCACATTCTGGCAGGGGGCCTGGGTGGTGGTGGGACCTGAATGGCAAAACGGGGATGCATATTTGACCTCCAGTTCCGAGTTGTGAAATTCGTCTGGAGGCTGGGAAGAGACTGAAAAGGTCGCACTTTCAAACGACAAGTTACGTCGTTGTGTCATGCGAGACCGAGATGTCGATTCACAGATTCACAACGAGAGGTGGGAAAATGTTGTCGTGCTGCACCAGGACCCCACTGGCGAGCCTGAAAAAGGATCCGTGCGTTGTGCAGGACAAGGACCAGGGCCCGACTCCCCGCATCGCAGCGAGCTAGAAGACTGTGCCTCCGTAGAGCTCACCGCGATGGTCGTGCTCTCAGAAATGTGGGGATCGGGTGGGCAGTAAGGGCGATCCGGCGCCCTGAAAGGCCAGAGCCGCGTGATTATACATAGCGGCCATGCGTAGAAAACAGTGGTTCGATCGAGCGATCGACAGCACGAGCCCCGACCTGGAAGCCTGAGCGCGTCGCCGAGAGAAGAAGCGCCTCGCTCGGCAGCCGCAGGAGCAGCGCTGAGGACGCTCTCGACGACGAACGCGAAGATGACCTCGTCCGTGGAGGAGTTCGACGACGATGACATCTCGGAGTGGGAGCTCTTCTGGCTCCGCGTCCGCGCCAACCTCCAGTTCAAAACGGTGAATTTCTGGGAGGAGGTGAGCGGCTCCATGGGCGACCTGGGCACCTTCATTCCGCTGCTGCTGACCTTGGCGTTCGTGAACGGGGTCGATGTGGGCACGACGCTCTTGTTCACAGGCCTCTACAATGTGGTCACGGGCATCGTCTTCGGCGTGCCCATGCCCGTCCAGCCCATGAAGTACATCTTCTCCGTGGCCATCACGGACGGCGACCCTCTGACGGTGCCCCAGATCATGGCCGCGGGCTTGAGCACGGCCTTCGTGCTCATGTTCTGCGGCATGACCGGGCTCATGAACGTTGCCACCCGCCTGGTGCCGACGCCGGTGATCCGCGGGTTCCAGCTTTCGCAAGGCATCTCGTTCGGAGTCACGGCCATCAAGTACATCGTCAAGAAGCAGGACTTCATGACCGGCAAGGACCTCGGCCCGCGCGACTGGCTGGGCACGGACGGCATGCTGCTGGCCCTCTGCGCGTTCACCTTCGTGGTGCTGGTGTCGGGCCCGGGCGATGATATGGTGCAGCAGGCGTCGGAGCCCGAGGAGTCGGACGCCCGGTACAGCAAGCTGCCGACGAGCTCCATGTCCCTGGCGAGCGGGATCGGCAGCCGCGTGATGGGCATCGGCGAGGAGGGGTCCGTGCACCGGGGCACTCTGGCCGAAGGATTGCTCCGCGCCGCGGTGGAGGAGTCCATGCTGCTGCACGGGTACAAGCCCGGCGAGCTGAAGGACGTGGACCTGGAAGGCGCCCGCGGCGACCTGGCCACGGAGGCGGGCATGAGCAAAATGGTGATCCCCTCGGCGCTGCTCGTCTTCCTCTTCGGGGTCGGTCTGGCCGTCGCGCGCGACTGGGGGTCCGTGGGCACGGCGGGGCGCGTCAAGTTCATCTTCGGCCCGGCGTTGCCGCAGGTGGTGAAGATCACTTGGGACGACTGGAAGGTCGGGTTCCTGCGAGCCGCCGTGCCTCAGATCCCGCTCTCGCTCATCAGTACCGTGGTGGCCGTGACCAAGCTGTCGAACAATTTGTTCCCGGAGAAGAAGAATGTCACCGCCCTGTCCGTGTCCACGGCGGTGGGCATCTTCAACTCCATCGGCTGCTGCTTCGGGACGCTGCCCGTCGAGTGCGGGGCAGGGGGCCTGGCGGCGCAATTCCGGTTCGGCGCGCGGAGCGGATTCGCGGTAATCTTCCTCGGGGCGGTCAAGCTCGTTCTCTCGCTCTTCCTGGGCAGCTCGTTGCTGCGCATGCTGGCGGAGTTCCCCATTTGCTTGTTGGGAGTGATCCTTCTGCTGGCCGGAATGGAGTTGGCAATCTTCTGCCGCGACCAGAATACTCGCCTCGACGCCTTCGTCATGGTAGTTTGCGCTACCGTCACGCTCTTCGGCTTCAGCGCTCCCATGGGCTTCACGTGCGGCTTCGCGACGTATCTGCTGCTGAAGCTCAGACAGAAGATTCGCAAGTACATTCTGACCAAATCCATGTTCGAGCTCATGCGACGCTAACGCGCCACCGATTGATGATGGCGGGAAAGCCTCTCGAGAAGACCGAAGCTTGAGAAGTTGAGATCGTCGCGCTGCCTCACCACCAGACAGACTACTTCTCTTCCTTCATTCATCCACCCCCCAACCCAGAGCAACCGAAGTCGAGCAGAGAACGTTGACGATGACAGAGACTTGTCGGATGAGAGCGGACAGACCGACGGGGCCGAACCCGAACACCCCGCGCCGATCGAAGTGACTGGGGTTGAGTGCGCAGCTGCAAATCGAGCCACACGTACACGAACGTAGACCCCCCGAGAGAGCAAGCGGCCGGCGTCGCGTTCCAGAGCTTGGAGCGTCCAAAGGTAATCTCCCCTGACTGCACAATGCTCCGCCAAGCTAGCTGCGAACGCGCAGCTGCGCACTCTAATATAATTCGACTTAATTCGAGATTCGAGAGGCTCGGTAAGACCGCCGACCCTGCTTCAGTCGGACGCCATGCGCCATCCACCTCGCATGCATGTAAATAATTGCTGTTGCCGGTTTCCCGACTCGAGTCGAGGTCCCGCTTTCGGGACGACATCCACGCAGTAAATGATCCGAGGCGGTCGAGCATCAATGACACAACTTCGATCCACGAAGACCACAGCCCCGCCCAGCCCAGACCAGCCCAATGAAAACGCCGCCATAGAAGCGCAGTCGGACGCACCGCGCGTACCAGCGTCCAGCGTTCCTTGGGACCTCGACTTTACCTTTCGTAGTAGGACATGACAACGGCCGGCATCTGTACAAACTTGCTCCTGGAGCAGACTCGGATATGAGGCACACGTAAGAGATTTGGATTCATTCAGCCTTGTAAAGAAACATAAGCGCTGTCCAACACAGCAAGAGCTGGAGATCGAGCACGAGATCGAGCAAGTGTTGCCTCCAAGTGTTGTCTGATAAGAAGACAAACCGTCCCAATTCAATTTGGCATTTGAAATTGATTCCTAGCGAGGCCGACTCGACTTCTCTCTCATTGCTTGTTGATCTTCTTCTCTACTCTAACAGCGTGAGGTCAGTAGAAATTTTCGACGATCCACAGCGCAGGCCGTGGGTCTGAGTTCTGAGTCGGCCTTCTCTGTGGAAGGAGGACGGCAGTGAACACTGCCCATGTATCAGCTCAATGCTTTACAATTATGAAATTCAACTTTCGACCTATCTAGATTCCCCTCAGCATCCGAACGTTTATAATTTGATACTGAAGACAATTCTGTGAAAACGAGAATCGAGAAGAAGTAAGGACGACATACTCAAACTCTTCTGTTGCTGCAATTTTGCACGAGTTGTGAGATGAAAAAAAGGAACTCCATTGCAGACGATAATCTACGCAGCTCAACATTCCCTCTGACACAGTATCACTCAGCAACTTTCACTGTGAAGAGCGCTTACAATGTACATTCACCGACTGTGTACAAATTTTGACTTTTGATGTTTGATTTTAAACTCGATATTCTAAAATTGTATTTAAAAGTGATGTAATTAAACTTCAAGTTCATAAAAGTACCTTTAAAATTATTAAGATTTGTCCCATTGAAACTCAGACTTGTAGTTGAACGTCTTTATATGTAATTGCTATATGAGTTGAACTCATATAGCAAGAAGTGATATTTTTACTTAACTAATTATTGTAATCAGATTTTTTAATATAATGAATGAAACCTTCATAATGGTCAAATATTTGGAGCCCCATAATTTTGATTTTATCGTGAGAGATTAAATTATAGCTTTGTAGTTATATACATAAAAAAAATTGATTTTTTTTAGTAGTTTTCATATTAAATTGTGTGGTTTCAATTTGCGTAACAGTATGGAACAGTTGAATTTTGTGTCTACACGAGTTTTTAGAGCGTAATGCACATTTACAAACATATCTTGGATGAGAAACATAGATATTTATTTGATGTGATTCCATATGAAGCTAAATTGCTTGATAGTAACCATTAAGTTTTTCTTTTTTACTAGATGATAATCTATCGATATCACACTTTGCAAAGTTCTAAAAAGTATATTATTCTATACATATGGTTTCAGCTTTAGTGTACACTTGCGATCGCAAATCATCAATATCTCAAATTTGACTAAAAAATTTGTATCTATCTTTAAATACAGATTTTGAGATATCACCTTTCGTGCACCTTGCAATCGTTTGTTGCTTGTCAAATTCAATGTTTAATCAATTGGAGAATGTAATCGATCTAGTGAAATTTGTGTCAAAATTTGTTGATTTTCTCAACTGATTTCGTTGTCGTCAAAGCTTGTGCTTGGTTCTTACTTTGCTTGATGACGGTGGAGATATTGCTCTTTGAACTAAGTCAAATTTGTTGAGGAATGACAAAAGATTTCAAAGATGTTGGTGTTAAATCCGACACCGTCAACATTAAATATGTACAGTCACGCAATTGTGACTAACCGATTTCATTGCTCAATTTTCAACTCGTATATACAATTCAATTCTTTCATGCCAAATTTTGCAAATTTCCTCGTGCAAATCATTATTAGTTTCACTACTTGCACTATATGTTGTACTACAAAATGCGTGACATGTAAGATCGGTGGAGTCTCATCGAATAAAAAAAAATTTAAAAGCTCCCATTAAGCAATTTATATTCAGATGGGATCACATCAAGTAAATATTTCATGAAAAATATTGATGATGATAAATTTCTAGAATAAATTTTATATTTAGTCATTGATTGCATAGGATACTTATACAAAATTAATCACGTTCAAATTATGATAAATAATCTCTTCACCGAAAACATATGCTCAAAGTAAAAAAAGCAACAGATTCATAAGTTGTGTCTTAGAACATTTTTATGTGTATTATCTTGATCATTATAATACTGCATAGTGTAGAAAAAAAATTTAAAATATAAATTTATAATCTGTTGAATGTAAAAAACATAAAATATTGAGTTTGAAGAAAGGTAACAATGAAGCTCAAAGTTGAATGACACAAAATACAACATGTAGGTATGTACACGGGGAACTCTTTTCATTACTTTAGTGGTTTGCATGAATGTTGGTTATCTTTGTTACAAGGTCATATTGAGTAGTTCGGTGTGATTATAGTTAGGTGTATATTGGACGCATTTACTGCAAAGGATTCACCATATAATAAAGCAAATGAACTTTATACCTTGTAAAAAAATCAAATTCAAGGCATCTAACGATCATACATTGATAATAATATCATTCTCCCATAGATACCACTTTTCAATATTATTATAAAGTTGGAAATGTATCAAATTATGAAAATTTTATTATCAGATGCTTATCAAGATAACTGAGAGACTTGGAGAAGGAAATCTATCTCATGTTTCTACCTGGCATTGAGATAAGCATCGAACTGAGATAGTCAGAGAGAAGTATATACCTCATGTCTCCGCTTGGCATTGAGTTTGTCATTCATATCGTCAATTGGATGGTTTTGGTTCTAGATGCGAGGACCGACTGACAGCTAGACTCTTGTATCGAGAAGCTATGATAACAGTCGAAGTCTGAAAACGGAAGATTCTAACAAGTATCGATAATTTGACTACTCAGAGTAAGGAAGGAGGAGAGCCCAGTCGTGTGTTACAATGAACAAACGAATACTCTTCTATAATAGTTTCCATTTGTCATCGTGATCGCAAGAACTATATTCACTCAATCGTGCACTGGAGATGTCGACATCACTCTAAAAAAAAGCGCAACATGCAGATGAGCTGTCTTTTGAAAGACGCAGTCTTCTCTGAGATCCATCTGTGAATGTGCTCACGTACTCCCCTACCAATAAAAAACAGGTCATGCTATGATCACATCTGATGACATCAAACTTGTTGACTAACGTAAATGGTTGGTTATGACACTTCTGAGCCGCTCGATATTTCGTACTCCAGTACATAGTTGCCATTAGACACAAATTTCTTGATTTCTTGATCTTGAAGTCAACCTGCAAATGGTGATGTCATTTGTGATGAAAGTACCTGTTTCTTATCGAATGGAGTAAGTATTAAGTAAGAGTATCAAATCGTACTGTGGCTGAAACTGATTACTTCACGATACGGAGAGAACACAGTGTAGCTGAAGTAACCTTGAAAGAAATTGCATTGTACGCACCATGGCTTTTTTGAGTGTGAGTTTGCCGCACCGAGTACTGCGAATGAGAGAGACCGGTTCTATTTCGGTTGAGAGACTCACAATCTGCTATTGATTCTGGCTTGCCTACCCTTGGTTGTTGCAGTTGTAGACCAGTGATGTGACCACCTCGTGCAAATGTGTGTCGTAAGCAGAGTCTTAACAAACAACGGCACAATATCCATGCACGACACTGTCATGCACCGCATGCTGTCCCCGTCAAGTTTGGACGGTCGTACTCTGTCATCTCACACCTGAAGAGCTTCCACTTAATCCTCTCAAAACGATCTAGTAGTTTCGAGTCGCGTTAAGTGCGACCATTTCTGCGTCCGTGAAACATGTTTTGGTCAAATTTCCTCTGGCCAAACATCTACACACGATATCAATGATGTAACAGTTTATAAATATTATACTATTTTTTGGAACGATCATAGTTACACTTGAACTAAGTCAAATGATCATTTTCAAGCAATACATTATCCAACCAAAATCTCCAAAAATAACAAAATCTTTATAACGTAGAATACTATACACATATCCAGAGTCTGTGACATGGAGATTCAATCAAGTACTAAGGTACGATATCAAAGCATATAATCCAATAAGCTTTATTCAACTATCATCTTGCTTCAAAATTGGTTTGTGAATTCAATTTTAATACAAGATAAAACTGGTTTCAATATTCAATCAACGTCATAGCCAGTATTTGTTGTGTTTGACGTAAACAAGTTTCAACAAGGAATACCTAAGCAAATTCAGTGAAAAAAATGAGGAAAGTCATCTGCATTTTGAGGCAGAAGTACATGCTTGATGTTATTAAATCCAGTCGATTGCAACATTGAATGGAGAAGGAGTTGATGATATAAATAGAAAGTTCCAAGAAACAACGACAAAAAGCGATTGTGACAACAAAGAGAGAAGTTTTCATGTAGCATGAAAGTAATGTGTCACATCAAAGATTGTTTCATATACTCCAAACAACTTCAATAGATGAATCTCAATACTCTTTCCATTATTTTAGAATTAGATGAATGTTTAGTTGTCAAATTGGAAGTCACTGGAGTAAGGCTAGTGGAATTGATTAAAGCATTAGATGATCAACTAACATCACAATTAAAATCAATAATTCAAACAGCTACAAATATCATGTAAGTTCATACAAAATCAAATAGTTGTAGCTAAAAACTCATTTAGAAGTTCATGGGCGGAACTAGATTGTCATCCCAAGATATGTTATTTTTCATGTTTATTTACTACGGCTTTTTAATAGCTCATCATTTTTCTAAAAGGTTGAATTTCACTTTCACACCCGTGTATAAATACACTTTCATATTCACTCATCACTTAAAATGAATTCTCATTGAAATTTAGACAAACTCTGGAAATGCAATTTCTTTGTGAATAACACAAATCTACAGACATTGTTCTTTTCAAACTTGCTTGACTATCTTTTTTTCTCTCTTTTGATATTATTTCACAATAATACATATGTATATAATATAAATTACTTGCAAAAAACTTAACCATGGTAGATATGATTAACTCCCATATAAATATTACATGACAATATTATATTGATCGACTAGAAGCTTCTTTGTTCTTATATCAAGATGACAACATGTCATTTCAATATGGAAGCAAAAAATTATTGAAACCTATAAAATCTCAACTAGCCACCGTATCAAACTTAGATTTAATCTGATCCATTTAAAAATCAACCACTTAGTCAAATCAATCAAATTAAAAAAATGTTTAAATTTTTTTTTGTTTCTTGGACAATAGTTGATGGTATTACTTTTACTCTTTGAACAAGTATTTTTAATAATATTTTTAATAATATTAAATAATATTATTTCTAATACATCAAGGTCTAAAATGTTAACATCTTTTTAATTTTGGAATATTAAATTTGATACAAGATAAAATAATGATGCTAAATATTAATTTTGTTCATAAAATTCTATACTTAACTAAAAATTGTAGATCTAATGTCAAGTTTAGATTTAATAGCAAAATTCAAACATAACTAGTCATAAATAAAATAATGAAAATAAATTCTTTCATTAATTTTATCACTGATACACTTATATAATTATTGAGCTTATATTT